TTTTTTTTTTTTTTTTGGTTCGGGGATTGAACTCGGGCACTTTCGACGCAGGTGGCGGAACCGCTAAATTATATTCCCAGCCTAGGGCCAGGGATTTAGCTCAGTGGTTCCGCCTCCTGCCTCCAAAGCGCAAGGGCCAGAGTTTGATCCTCGGCACCAAAAACAAAAACAAAACAAAATCCCAGCCTTGCCATTTATCCTTTAATAAGTAAATCTCTGTCAGTGTTTTAAAATGTTGAAAAAAATTATAAAAATATTGCATAAATATATTCTCATAAAAGCTTTCTTTTAAAGCTTTGAATATTGTAATTAAGATTAAATTTCCTTCTGAAAGTCTGGGCTCTTTCCTCCTCCCTTGACCCTGTCACCAGTTTGGTGGGTTTCCTCCTGTCTTTTTCATATATCTACACATATAAATATTCTCATAGAAAATCTGTTTTATATGTGTGAGTGCATTTTGTTCATTTGGTAGAACAAATGGCACCATACTAGTTGACAATTTTTTCTCAAAATATCTTGAAGATATGGCTATGGAATCATGTGTAGCCTACTTCACTTTTATTTATTTATTTTTAATGTATCTACATAGTGCTAGGGCTGCAACCCAGGGCTTCTCAGAGGCTAGGTGAGTGCTCTACCACTGAGCCATACCCTGAGCCCTCTACTTAGTTTTTAAACTGACTAGCATTATTCCATTGGTGGTAACCTTTCTATTGTTTTTTGTGTATCCCATGAACTGAGTGAGGGCTGAGGCCTTGCACTCTGCAGACGTTGTTGCTTTGATTAATACTGATGTGCAGTCCCACTGGGGAATGGTTTTCAGAAGCCCTGGATCTGTGGCTCACAATGTTTTCCTTCTCTCTTCTACAGAGACGCCTCAGAGAGGCTGTGCAGCTGCTGGAGGACTACAAGCACGGGACCCTGCGCCCTGGGGTCACCAATGAACAGGTATCTCTGGTGGGGATGGATGTAGGCAGGTGTGGAGGGAAAGGAAGGACAACTTTGATTGCAGTTGGATGGTTAATACTCCAAAGTTTTTCTTTTTGTCCATAAACTTTATCCCAAAACTTAGAAAAATTAATGTATTTTTCAAAGTATATATAAAGTGTGTACATAGATCAAAAAACCTAACAGGACTACAACACTTGTGAGGGAAAATAGTATGCAGCCCATCCTTCTCCAATTCCCATTCCTGTTCCCTAGAAGCAACTATTTTTAGCTGTATCTCAGATAGAAATCTGTACTTCAAACTTATATACTTAACTATACTGCTATTTCTCAATTAGTTCTTTTGCAGTACCTATTATGGTAGTTGAAGATTCAGCTCTTTTCTCATCCACCCCTATAAATACACTTCCTCTGCCTACTCCACCCCCCTCCCGTGATAGTTATCATGGTTTAAAGGTTTATAATTTAGTATTCATGTTATTATAATTATATAAATAATTTTTACTGCATAGCCAAGTTGGTTGTATCATGATTATGTTTTCTTCTCCTTTTCAACTTTATGTTTTACCTGGAGTTTATACTTGTCTCATTTTCCCATCAGTATTAGTTTCCTTTGCATTGTCTCTAACTTGTTCTGTATTCTCCAGCAGCCTTAAATAATTTCTGTGCCTCATTTCAATTGAAGAGTTTTATCTTTCTGTTCTATCACCCCCCCACCCCTGAAATTTTTCTTTTGGGGGCCCACTTCTCACCAGTTTTAGTTTTGTGTGTGTGTGTGTGTGTGTGTGTGTGTGTGAGAGGAGAGAGAGAGAGAGAGAGAGAGAGAGAGAGAGAGAGAGACAAAGAGACAGAGAGAGAGAGCGTTTTGATATGTAGTTCAGGCTGGCTTTGAACTTACTATGTAGTCCTGGCTGGCCTTGAGCTCTCAATCCTTCTGCTTCAGCCTCCTGAGAGCTGGGATTATGGGCACACACCACAATTCCCTGCAGGTCTTTCTTTTTCTTGATGTATACCATAGCTTTGGTGAAACATTTATTCCAATAGCTCCTGAAAAGGGTAAATAGGAAGAACATTTGGGTTCTTTTATGTCTGAAAAATTGTAATTCTGCACTCAGCTTTAATTGACAGTTTGGGTGAGGACAAAATTATAGGTTGACGATAATTTTTCTTTAAACTTTTGAAAATCATTGCTTTATTTTCTTTTGGCTTCCAATAGTTTTTTGGGTGTTTGTTTGTTTGTTTGTTTGTACTGGGGATTGAACTTGGGTCCTTGTGTTTGCAAGGCAGGCACTGGAACCACTGAGCTAAATCCCTGCCCTGCAATATATCTTTTAAAAGCTCTGATACTAGCCTGGTGTGATGGTCTATACTTATAATTCCAGTGTTTTTGGAAGCTGAGGCAGAAGGATCACTTGAATCAGGAGTTCAAGACCAGTCTGGGCACATAGTGAGATATTCTTGTTTAAAAAAAAAATATGGCCAGCTGTGGTGGCACACATAATCATGTAATCCTAGGAAGCTGAGGCAGGAGGGCTGCTGTGAGTTCAAGACCAGTATGGACTACATAGTGAGTTCAAGTCTAGTCTGAACTACATAGCAAGACCCTATCTCAAAAAAAAACAAATATAAATAAATAAATAAAAATTTTAAAGTCTGATCCATTTAATTCGTGAGTCTTTACGGATGGTCTGTTTCTTTCTTTTTGGAAATATTTATGATTTTCACTTTATCTGTAAAATTATTTCCAAAATTCTTCAATGGTGGGTCTTTTGAAATTCTTTAGATTCTTGGTGACCTCTTTCAATCTGAAGACTCCTGTCTCTTAGTTCTGGTACAAATTTTTGTTCTGTTTCTTTGATGATTTTATTTTATTCTGGAACTATTAGTGAAATACTAGACATCCCAGGCTGACACTAAGAGCTTATCTTTTTCTCTTCTGTCCTCTCACTACAGATCAGATGTGGGGTTAGGGCTTGGGAAAAAGAGCAAGGAAAAAGCTGGATGAGGTTTTTCATCATGGATCCCCTGAAACAGATAATGACAGAGAAGACACACAGTACAGCGAAGAGGAGCACAGGCAGTAATCAGCCAGATTCTAGGGTTTGGCAAGGATTTCTGAGATGTGAGGGAAGAGAAGAGGGCTGTTGCATGACTAGGCACTGTATTTGCTCAGATGCCTTTGTGAGGCCCCAGGGAATAATGAGACATGGGGCAGGGCCTGGTCCTGCAGGCCTGTGCTAAGGTGTTTACACTGCATGCTGGGGCATTGACAGCATCATAGGAAGGAGGCTGCAGTCTCACTCCCATGCTGTGGTCCTTCTTTCTGGCCACTGGCAGTAAGGCTTGCATGGCCTGATCTCAGTAGCCAGAAATAGTGCTCAAGGTACTGTGTCCACTCATGCATCTGCCCTTCTTTCACTCTGCCATGCTCCTGTCCAGCATATTTGCCTCACTCACCTCCTCTGCAAGAGTTTGCTCTCAATTTCTAGCACCTGTGCTTCTTTGCCTGGGCCTCTCCTACTCTATTCCCCTGCTCACCAGCCCTCTTTTCTTCCCTCACATTTCAGAAATCCTTGAAGGGCTTACATGGCCTGACCTCAGTAGCCAGAAATAGTCCTCAGACCCTTGAATGTTCTTCTGCCTGTCAGGGATGGGTCTCCACACCACACCGAAGCTTTCTGATGCCTTGTTTGCTCCTAGCCTCAGCTCCCCTTTGTCCTATTCTTGCTGAGATTGGCCTCTTGAGACCTCTTTCAGCTTACAGAGTTTGGTAAATAAGGCCACCTTTCCCCTATTTGCTCCCTTCAGTGGCTTAAAGCTGCCTGTCCTATTTCCCAGGCCTCTTTGTTTTCTGTCCATGTGCCTCAGAGAGTGGAAGGAGGGGGCCCAGAGACAGCTTGGCATTACCTACGTTTCTCCATTCTGGCTTCTGATGGTGATGCCTACAAGGTCCATCTGGTGGGTGGGTAGCACAGTGCTGAGGTGTGAGCCTGCCACCATGGCCCCCTGGAAGCAGATTTTTCCTCTTCCCTCTTCCCCCTTCCTGGGGCTCTGCAGAGGTTGAGGGATTGGGTCTGCATGGCTCTCACAGTACCTTCTTGACTCTGGCCTCTACAGGCACAGGAACAGAGGGGATAGTGGCAATATGTTGTTTTTGTTACTTTCTCATCATTAGTACACAATGCCCATCACCCACAACTTTAAGGGGAAGGTTTATTTTGGTGCATAGTTTGTGGTGATTTCATTCCCTAGTCTGCAGGCTCCATGAAAGAATGGCATGGTGGAAGTGCCTGGCAGAAGGGAAGCTGCTCATGGCTTCCAAGAGGCAAAGAAGAAGCAGAGAGAGTCAAGGGAGGAGTCAGGAAGGGAGATACATTCTTCTGGGTCACACCCACATTTACCCAGCTCTTTCAACTTGATCCTACCTCCTAACAGCAAGCCAGCTATTACACCCCCATAATTCAGTCACTTTTCAAAAGTCCTGCCTAAGTTTACATGAGGCTTGGTAGGGAGGGTCAGCATCTAGCTATAAACCATAACATTCTACCCCTGGCCCACAAAAGACTCTTACATATCTCTTTATGCAAAATGCATTTAATTAGTATCTAAGAGTTACCATAGTACTAGCAGTTTCAGCATTGCTGAAAAATTCAAGCCCAAAGTCCTCTCTGAGGCTTAAGACAAAATTTTAGCTGTGGGCCCCTGTACAAATAAAACTAAAGAGCCAGGCATTGTGGTGCATGCCTGTAATCCCAGCAACGCTCAGAAAGCTGAGGCAAGAGGATCACTGTAAATTTGAGGCCAGCCTGGACTACACAGTGAGCAAGGCTGAACTGCATAGTGAGACCCTGTCTCAAAAAAAAAAAAAAAAAAAAAAGGTTAAACACTGCTGACATATAATGGCATAGGGTAAACATTCTCATTCCAAAAGGAAGGAATAGCTGGGGATTTAGCTCAGTGGTTCCACTGCCTGCCTCAAAAGTGCAAGGTCCTGAGGTAGATCCCTGGTACAAAAGAAAAAAAAAAAACTTTCCAAAAGGAAAGAAGAAGGTGATAGGAAGGAATGGAACCAAAGCAAAACCAAAACTCAGCAGGACAAATATTAAATTCTTTAGCTCTGTGTCCAGACCAGGGCAAGTTGTGGCCATGAGATGTAAACTCCAAACTCCTCTATGAAATTGCCAGTGGTAGTAGTCCCTATGGTTTCTCTTTGGCTGACTGTGCTCATTCCTTGTGCCTTACCTCAAACATTCTGTTTTGACTTCTGCAGCTTTTTCCCCCATACTTTAAGCTGCACTCTCACTGCTTCACACACTAAGCTCTCAGGGGCACACTTCCTGGTCTTCCAGGACTTCTTCTGAAATCTGGGTGGAAGCCTCCCTGACTCTACAACTCACATTCTACATGCTGTAAAACCAGCACCACATGAAAGATCCCAAGGTCTGCCACTAGCTTGAGCAACATCCAGGCTCCTTTGTATCATGGCTGCAGAGCTCTCTGAGTGCCTGTATGAATGAATGCTATGAATTGAATTCCAGGGAATAAATTCCCTAGATCGCTATTGTTCTATATCATAATGCCATGAGGCTCTCATTTCCGAGCAAAGTCTTTCACGTTTGCAATTTTGAGCCTGCAAAGGGTGCAACCTTGCTGGTTGCTCACATGCCCATAAGGATTTTTCTTGTTGTCCTGACTAAAGTACTTGGTTCTTTTTTTTTGTACCAGGGATTGAACTCTGGTCCTTGCTCTTGTGAAGCAGGTGACAGAAACACTGAGCTAAATCCCTGGCCCATTTGGCTTCTTTTTTTTTTTTTTTTTTTGAGACAGAGTCTCACTATGTAGTTGAGTCTGACCTAGAACTCACTATGTAGCCCAGGCTGGTCTCAAACTCACAGCGATCCTCCTGCCTCAGCCTTCTGAGTGCTGGGATTACAGGTGTGCGCCACCATGCCCAGCTTGGGCTTCTTTTTAATGATAATCTTTTCAGTAATTAAGCTCTC